ACATCCCCAGGGGGGGGTGTGCGGGAGGCAGCTGATCGATGTTTCTCTCTCATTGATGTTTCTAACTTTCTATCCCTTTTCCTTCCTCTCTGTAAAAAATCAATAAAATATATTTAAAAAATTTTTTTCAAAACAACTACTCTTTATAAAACAGTGTTAAAAAAATGAAAAGACAAGTCATAGACTAAAAGAAAATATTTGAAATACATATATCTAATGAAGGACTGGTATCCAAAATATATAAGGAATTCCTACAACTCAAAATAAAGAATACATATAACTCAATTAAAAATGAACTAAACAGCCCAGCCAGAGTGGTTCAGTTGGTTGAGCATCATCCCCTGCACCGAAAGGTTGCTAGTTTGATTCCTGGTCAGGGCACATACCTGGGTTTTGGGTTTGATCGCCAGTTGGGGAACACAGGGAAAGCAAGTGATGTTTCTCTCTCACATTGATGTTTTTCTCTCTCTGTCTCTCTGCCTCTCTCTCTCTCTTCCTTCCTCTCTCTATGTGTGAGGATTAAAAAAAAAAAAAAGAGCAAAACATTTGAAGAGATGCCTCACAAATGAATGTACACAAATGGCCAAATGGGCACATCAAAATATACTCATTGTCATCAGACACTCTCAAAAGTCAAATTAAAAGAACAAGATACCACCATGTCTGCTAGAATTTAAAAGACTGACAATAACAATATTGGTGGAGATAAGGAGCAACTAAAAGTTCCATACCATTGTTGGTAGTAATGTAAAACAGTACAACTAATTTGAAAACCAGTCTGGCAATTTCTTATAAAATTAAACACATAATTACTCTATGACTCAGCTAATTTCACAGCTAGATATTTATCCAAGAGGTGGAAAAAACTGGTATGTGAATACTAATAGCAGCTTTATTCACAGCAATAGAAACCTGGAAACAACCTAATTGTCTACCAACCAATGAGTAAATAAACAATTTGTGGTATATCCATATATAGGAATATCATTCAGCATTATAAAAAATGAACTACTGATAAAGGCAACAATATGGATAAATCTCAAAAGCATTATGTGTGAAAGAAACCAATATAAAGAGTATATACTAGATGATTCTATGTATCTGAAATTCTAGAAAGGTGAAGTTGGGGAGATTGACAGCAAAGGGGGAAGGAACGTTTTAGTCACGAATGCTTTCTTCCTTGATTGCAGTGGTTGTGATTATACAGATATATGCTTTCGTCAAAGCTCATTGAATTCAACTCTTAAAATATGTATGTTTATATTATTATAAATATTTCAATAAAGTTAATTTAAAGAAGAAATACAGATAACTTTTAAATATGAAAAATGCTCAATCTCACTATAAATAGATAAATTAAAATTAAAATTATACTGAGACACTCATCTATCATTTGGTAATAATATAAAAGTTTGACACTGTATCAGCTGGTGAATTTTTTATTTTTATTTTTATTTTTTTAAATATATTTTATTGATTTTTTACAGAGAAGAAGAGAGAGGGATAGAGAGTTAGAAACATTGATGAGAGAGAAACATTGATCAGCTGCCTCCTGCACACCCCCCAGCAGGGATGTGCCCGCAACCAAGGTACATGCCCTTGACCGGAATCAAACCTGGGACCCTTTAGTCCGCAGGCCGACGCTCTATCCACTGAGCCAAACCGGTTCGGCATGGTGAATTTTTTAGGACACTGGCTTGCTCATACATTGCTGATGGGAGAGGAAAATGGAATAATTTCCACTGAATAGTGTCTGGCAATATCTACTATAATTACAAACGCACTATCCCAAACCCCACAATTCCATTTCTATGACTCCATGCTACAGAAACACTTGCATATATATGCAAAGTACAAGAAACTACCCATGTGTCCGTCAAAGGGAGACTGGCTGAATAAATTATGGTACACCCACACAACAGAATGCTAGTCTGCTCTACAGAGTGAGGAAGATCTCTTTGTATGATATGAAAGACTCTCCAGGATCATTTTAGTAAAAAAGAAAGAAAGAGACGAAGAAAGGAGACAATCTGAATAAACATTCCAATTGCTTACATGTAAATAAATAAATACTAATAGAAGGGTAAATAAAAATGGTCACTAATTAATCAACTTGCTTTAAATTAGAGCAACAGTGGGGTCTTTGGGGAAGAATTTTGGTAAAAATTCTTTAAGTCCTACCTGGAAATACCTTCTTTTTTCCTTCTTTCCTTCCCTCCCTTTCTACAAATGAATTATTTACTTGCAAGGGGGTTTTGGAAGGCAGGAAGGATACTAGTTTTTTGGCTGAAATCAAGAGGTCCTGTGGCTACAGTTTCCTCAATACCTAAAAAGTCGGGAATATGGGGCTCAGGGAGTTACAATAAAAACGAGCTCAGTGAATGAGATCCCTCGGTAACAAGGGATATCACTCAACTTAAGTATGTAAGAGAAGGGCTGCCACATAAAAGGAGTCTAGATCCTTGACCTGAATGTTTGAAATAGCCCTATCTAAAACACATCAGCTCTTACTTCAATTTGATCACTGACCACTATGGTCACCACTTCAGAGGCTGATCATGCTGGAAAGACGAGACACTGTATGCACTGGAGCCTGATGTATTACTAGTTTTCTACGATATTTTAATGTGGTTCCAGTTAGCCACTCTCCCACCACTCGTTGATTCTACAAACCAACTGCATTCTGATGATTAAAGATTCCCCCTATGCTTGCATCTTTGTAAAATCCTTCTTTTCGTTAAAGAAACAACCCATTATATTCATATTGGTTGTTCCCCGTGAAAAAGAAGTGAACAGAATCACAGACTCTGTACCTCAATTTCTTCCTAAAATCTAATTGGCTGAGCAATAGAAAAAGACAAGCAATAAGAAGAGAGTAGCAAATGAATAGCACCAATTATTCTGTATACTCTATAAAAATGTGACTCCTTAAAAATTAGAAATCGGAAAGAAGAGAACTTTAAAATACCTGTACTTTCTGTTCAGCACCCACAGTTTTCCAAGGGGAGTGGTTTCCAAGTTGCTTATTCTCTTGAGATTCACGAATCTCTCCTTTAAGCCTTTCAACCTTAAACACAAAAGTATTTTAAATACAAAAGTTAGAAGGGCGGGGAAGTTGCTTTGTTTTTAAAATATACAAAAAACACATGAATCCATTCTTCATGTAAAAATTCATACAACACATAAGTATCCTATCTAATAAAAAACAAAAAGGGTAATTGACCGTACCTTCGCTATGCTTCCCAATGGCTAATCAGGGCGATATGCAAATTAACCACCAACAAAGATGGCGGCCGGCAGCCACGCAGCTGAAGTGAGCAGGAGGCTTGCTTGCTCCAGTGATAGAGGAAGCCAAGGTTCCCCGCCTGCCGTGGCCCTGCTCTGAGCTCTGAAAGCAACTGTTTCAATTATAGAAGCTAAACAAACCCCAGATACCTGCTTTCAGCAGGTTGTGGTCTCAGAGCTGGAGCGAGCAGCTCTCAGCTCCAGTGACAGCAGCAAAGTTTCAATTATAAAAGGTAAATAAATCCCAGAATAAAAAAAAAAGAAAAGGAGAGGCTGGGAGCTTCAGTCGCCGGCCAGCCTGAAAACAGCCCTCAGCCCCTCATCCAGGCTGGCCAGGCACCCCAGTGGGGACCCCCACCCTGAAGGGTGTGTGACCAGCTGCAAACAGCCATCAGCCCCTCACCCAGGCTGGCCAGGCACCCCAGTGGGGACCCCGACCCTGATCTGGGACACCCTTCAGGGCAAACCAACCAGCCCCCACTCGTGCACCAGGCCTCTATCCTATATAGTAAAAGGGTAATATGCAAACTGACCCTAACAGCAGAAAGACTGGGAACGACTGGTCACTATGACACACACTGACCACCAGGGGGCAGATGCTCAATGCAGGAGCTGCTCTCTGGTGGTCAGTGCGCTCCCACATGGGGGAGCTCTGCTCAGCCACAAGCCAGGCTGATGGCTGCCAGTACAGCAGTGGTGGTGGGAGGCTCTCCTGCCTCCTCAGCAGCACTAAGGATGTCCGACTGCAGCTTAGGTTTGCTCCCCGCTGGCGAGCGGATATCCCCCAAGGGCTGCTGGGCTGCCAGAGTGATGTCTGATTGCCAGCTTAGGCCCAATCCCCCAGAAAGCAGGCCTAAGCCAGCAGGTGGTCATCCCCTGAGGGGTCCCAGACTGTGAGAGGGCACAGGCCGGGCTGAGGGACATCGCCCCCCTCCCCCCAGAGTGCACAAATTTTGTGCACTGGGACTCTAGCATAGACTAAAAAGTGAGATTTTCCATCACATAACCTTACCCCAATAATCTTTCCCCTTTCCAGAAGTAACACAGTTTACAATATACCCTTCCTGAAATTGATCTCCCATGTATATATGTATACATATATATCAAATATATAATGTATATATTTGTATAAGATATATACCAGTATTAGGTATATAAATTTACAGACAACTTGAACAGTTTTATTCATTTTTTCTTATTACAGTTTTACATTATGATAAAATATATATAAAATTTACCATGTTAACCATTTTTAAGTGTACAGTTCAGTAGCATTAAGTACATTCACATTATTGTGCAATCATCACCACCATCCATCTCCAGACACTAGAGATATGATTGTAAAATGAATATAAAATTGGAGGGATATATAATATATCCAGAACTTGGAAGTATATATTAAAAATCCATGAATTGCTAAGGATAAATGGTTCAAAAATGTAACACAACGAAGGGTGCAGTATTAATAATCTCAAACATATCCAGTATAATAGAATAATAATTTCTATTTGGTAAATGTGTTAAGTATAAACTATTATCCAAATCCCTATGAAAAAGAAGAGATCCTAAATTGACACAATAGTAATAAGAATACTGTTTGGCATAGGTAGTTAAGATGTATAAAAATACTAACACTGATAGAATGCATCCAAGTCAAAATATGGCTTTTTCCAGGGATGCTAGAACCACCCGTTCCAGTCCACAATAATGCCCAATAGGTGATGAGTATCTATGTTGTTCTACTGCTGATGGTTATTCTATTCACATTTAAATAAATTCTAAGAACAAACTAAACAGTTTACCACTTCTCCAAGCACTTTTTTTTCTGAGTCAAGTGATCGAACCCGAGTTCTTAAAGCCAGAATCTCCTCATTCAGTCTCTGATTGTGTTCCTTTGCTTTCTTTAGGTCAACTGAATCTAAAACAGAGAGAAGAATGCACTCTACTCAACTGGAGCGAAGTTTTAATGTGAAGGTATGAACTTTGAAAACTGAGGAAGTGCTATTTCCTAACCTTCTTTGTCATGTCTCTGCCTGTGATCCTCTGCACAAGAGCTGCTAGCTAGACTCTAATGTCCAGCTCTAGAATATTCCACCAACCTAATGAAACAGAACAGAATGCTTTTTATTTCTCACCCCAAGACTAATGAATTGGACTTTTGAGTACAGGATTTCCAGCATTAGAGGTTTTTCTAGGACCTGGAATTTTAAAACAGTTGAGCCTACCTTATAAAGGTTAAAGGACAGAAAATGATCTTCCTGGCTTCCTTGTAGTCCTTGTAGTCCTGTCTCTCTTACACACCTAACAGACTTCTAGATACTTCTACTCATTAACATCAAGTGCCCCATGGATGACTGAAGTAGTGAGCTAGGGACAGTGAATGAACAGATTTTCCATGTTAAAGCAAGTTAATTCATCGAAGCCATTTTTTCTTCCTGTAGCTCCATTGCCATTAAAGTGGTAGTCTATTCTCAGCTTAGCACCTCATCTTAAGACCTGCTCTTTCTGGCACTCATCAAAGTTTCATGAATACTGCCGAAACCGGTTTGGCTCAGTGGATAGAGCGTCAGGCTGCGGACTGAAAGGTCCCGGGTTCGATTCCGGTCAAGGGCATGTACCTGGGTTGCGGGCACATCCCCAGTAGGAGATGTGCAGGAGGGAGCTGATCGATGTTTCTCTCTCATCGATGTTTCTAACTCTCTATCTCTCTCCCTTCCTCTCTGTAAAAAATCAATAAAATATATTTCAAAGTTTCATGAATACAAACTTGCTGACTGTAATTTTCCTGAATTTGTAGCTGTTTCTTTTTAGCCATTTTTCACCTCTGTTTCTCTATTTTTCTTTTGCTGCTTTAAAGTCGATGTTTTCCTTTTTCATTGCATGTTTTGTATTTAACTTGTATTAATTTTTTTTTCTTCATTTTTTCTCCCTTGCTACATTCCTTTTTCCTCTTTAGCATATAAATTTTCAAAATTTGAAAAATACTGAAAACATACCAAAAAGAAAACAAATCATTCACAATCCCTTTATATATAACATATATTCACAATCTGTAGGTAGGTAGATAGATGATAGATAGATAGATAGATAGATGATAGATAGATAGAGTATGCAAACAAGATTTGTTCTACCTTTGGCCTATGTAATTTTTGTTGTTGTTAATCCTCACCTGAGGATATTTTTTCCATTGGTTTTTAGAGAAAGTGGAAAGAGGGGAGTGGGAGGAAGAGAGAGAGAGAGAGACAAACAGATAGACAGAGGTGAGAGAGGTACATTGATTAGTTGCTCCTGGAGGAAATCCAACCCTCTACCCTTTGATGTACAGGCTAACACTTTGACCACTAAGAAACACTGGTCAGGGGCCAATAAACACATTTTAAATTATTTTTCTAGTTGCTTCCATTACAACACTCAAATTTCATTATATTATTTATAGCTGGTAGCATTTTTACATAGTCAAGTGAGGGTCAGATTAACTAATTCACCACTATGCCAAGTCTGTTGGCTTCTCCGTGAACAAGTATGTGTGAGGTGCTATTAAGTGCATTAGAAGGTGTCTTGATCCCAGTTGTCCCAGTAAAATATTTATTATTTGCGTTTGCCACAGGTTTTGGAGTCAAGACATATCTGGGTTCAAAAACCAGCTAAAATAATTGATGTATCTATTGGCTAATTCACTTAACCTCACCATGACTCAGCTTCTTTATGAAATTGTAATAATAATTCTCACTACTTGAAACTGTTGTGAGGATTAGAGGTAATGCAGATAAAGTGCCTGGCAGAGTACCTGTGACTACTAAGGAACAAATAGTAGTAATAGCAATAGTAGTTAAAATAGAAATAATAGCAATGGTAGTGCTATTATTATTATTATCTTAAAACACTGTTATATTATTATGTAATGTATTATTAAATATTATATCTGCTAAAATGACTCACCATTTTCTTTCAACTTTGTCAGATTTTCTTTCAGCTCATCAATTTCTAATTGAGCCTTTTCAAGTGCAGAATCTAAAAGAGAAAAAAAACCCCAAAAAACAAAATACAGGGTGGGGCAAAAGTAGGTTCACAGTTTTTCATATGGAAAATAATACAATATTTACTGTTTAAAATGCATTCTTGATTTTAATTCCACAGTAAATTTGACAGAATCATTATTATTTTATATATGTTCTGCCCAAGTAGCATGTACTTATAACCTGTTGAGGCAATAATTCTACTCGTGGGTATATCACAGTTAAAATGGATAGCTAAGTACAAGAATATCCAGAGCAGCACTGTTCATCATAGACCACAACTGGAAACAACAGAAGTATTCAACAGTATACAGGGTAAATAAAATAAATTATTTTAACTTTAATAAACATTGAGTATGTTTATTCAATGAAATACTCTACAAACAGCAAGAGTGAACAAACTGCTATAGGCAACAACATGGATGAATCTCACAAACATACGACTGAACAAGAGAAACAACTAAAGAATGTGTGTGGCCTTAGTCAAAACTCAGAAATTGTGTTGCAAGTCACGATAGTAGTTACCTTTGGGGAGGAGCGAGGGTGTAGACACAGGGAGAAGAAACCAAGGCCCCTCTGGGGTGCTAAGGACTTCTTGCTGGGTGGTAAGCACTTAAGAGTTGTGCACGTCTGCCTTGGCTGGTTTGGCTCAGTGGATAGAGTGTTGGCCTACAGACTGAAGGGTCCCAGGTTCGATTCCAGTTGGGGGCACATGCCTGGGTTGTGGGCTTGATCCCCAGTAGGAGGCGTTTAGGAGGCAACTGATCAATGATTCTCTCTCATCATTGATGTTTCTATCTCTCTCTCCCTCTCCCTTCCTCTCTAAAATCAATAAAAAATATTAAAAAAAAATTCCAAGCTCTCTTCTAGACATAAAAAAAAGAGTGTACACTTCTTGGTAGGGATGTTATGCTTATGCTTTAATAACAATTTTTGGACACTGAAGAAAATGAGGCTTTTTATCAGATGTTTACATGTTTTTCTGAAAAAATTATTTTCTGAAGGCGCTCATGTTCTACCCTGAGAAAAGATCATTACACTCAAAACACAGTCAGAAATGTTCTTCTGTAACCACAGCTTACCTAGTTTACTCTGTTCTTTCTCATTCCCTTGCAGTTCATCAGTGAGCCTTCGGATCTCTTCATGGACCATCCTTAACCGCTTTGCTATTTGTTCCACATTTCTCTCTATGCAGTTTTGTGATGTTTTATCTTTTTCTATGTCTTCATTATGGGACTGAAATAAAAGTATTGTTAGTAATAAAACAAAAAATAAATGTACTCTTAAGACACTGTACTATTTCCCAGGTGTTCAAAAACCAAGAAATAAAAGTAGCAAACAGAATATTTCATGCATGTGCATCATTTTATTAGGTTGAACTATATACAATTGGTGATATTTGGTTATTTTTGATCTATAAACATGCAATTTCATATGGTTCAATCTAACATTTCTAAAAAATTTTGGTTATATGATTATTTTAAATGTAGATATTTAGGCCTGGCCAGGTGACTCAGTTGGTTGGAGCATTGTCCCATACACCAAAAGGTTGTAGATTCAATTCCCGGTCAGGGCAATATCCAGGTTGTGGGTTGGATCCCCGGCCGGGGTGTATATGGGAGGCAACAGATGCCTGTTTCTCTCTCAAACTGATGTCTCTTTCCCCCTTTCTTTCTCTCTAAAATCCATGAAAACATGTCCTTGGGTGAGGATTAATACACACACACACACTTGATATTTAATCATTAAAATGAGTATCATCTGGCAAGAAAGAAACCGTTCTTCTCACTTATATGAACATTAAATACAGTTTGTAAAATGTTTTCACAGGAAGCATTTCACTGAATTTCAAGGTATGAACACACTGAACAAAGCTCAAATCATGTTTACAGCTCATTTTCTGCAATTATTTTCAAAGCATTATAAAAGCTAAGGAACAAATTCAATCTCAATGATATTTTGCTTTTAATCCCCAAAATATGCATTAATGTAAAATAAATATTATCACTATATGAATTTTTCTAAAAGATAAGAAAAAATTATCAGCTATAACATATTGGTATACTTCATTAAAGTGTTTTTTCTTCATATTTATTTAAAAAATCTTTATTTTTGAGAGTATGACAGATGTCCCCTTGAGACTGAAACCCAGATAAATGCCCTTTAACCAGAATCAAACCCAGGACCCTTCAGTCCATGGGCTGATGCTCTATCCATTAAGCCAAGCTGGCTAGGGCATGACTTTTTCATTGACATTATGAGAAACGTTTCCCACATTGTTGAACAGATTTTGTAATGATAATTTTAAAAAGCCTGTGTTATGTCCCAGCGTGGGCATAACATAATTCATCATTGAAACATTTTGGTAATTTCCAATTTTTGCTTTTGAAAATAATACTATGACATACCCTTTTATCCATATATATTTTTCTTTATCTTGGGTTAAATTCCCAGTATGTACTTTACTCACTGGATTTAGCTTTTTAAATTAATTTCAGAGAGGAAGGGAGAGGGAGAGAGAAATAGAAACATCAATGACGAGAGAGAATCATTCATTGGCTGCCTCCTGTATGCCCCTCCACTTGGGATCAAGCCCACAACTTGGACATGTGCCCTGATCAGAAATGGAACCCTGACCTCCCGGTCGATAGGTTGATGCTCAAGCACTGAGCCACGCCGATCAGGCTGGATTTAGCTCTTAATAACATTTTCCCAGATCAAAAAATTTAATTCCATGAGAAGAACTTATTGTATTTAAAATGATGTGCTTTACATTTTAAAGGACTCCTCAAAACAGGAGCTCCATTCTTATTTGGAAAGAAGTAAGCATTGTCTCTAATGTGGTTTTTCAAAGGATATAATACTCATTGATTAAATTTTGATACATTCAAAACAAATCAACTATGTGTTAAAAGGGTAATTGATTTTCCTTCTTCCTAAATTTTTGTGATATGTTTAAGATACTTTTATGCACAATCTGATCATTTTTTGCAGCATCATTACATACATTTAAATATATTCAAACAAAATAGTTCCAAGGTAGAGTTAACTTGCAATTGGGTGGTACTATTAAGTATTGTCCCTTATTCGGTTATCTAGTTAATTTTGGAATACCTGGGCAAATTCTTTCAGTAGGTTACTGCTCATACATCTTTGTGACTCCGGCTTTGAGTCCCCACTTTCCAATTTACTCAGGATTTTACTTCTGTCCACCAGTAAGTATGCAATCTGTTCACTGGGGCTGCTCAGAGCTATTTCAGAGTCTTCCTGATACAACATTTCTCCAACCTCCTTTCTTTGTGCTTCTATTAGGAAGAAATAACAGAAACAAACTGTTAAAAGAAATGCAGGTAAACAACTACTCTATAAGATGCGAAATGAGTTCTTAATTAGATAACACATTAATGTAAAAAGTAAGCAACACTGATACTATTACGCTTCGCTGCATCTCTCCGGGGTGTTTGCAAAGTTTCAAAATTGTAACAAAAAAGTAGTGAGAAAAGTTCTCAAAAGCAGGAAATATTCTTAATAGTGTAACTTTAAAATTTTTTCTTGAGTAACTTTAAAATTTGTTTATTGAGTGCTTATGATGTGACAGGTGTTGTACTAATGTTTGAGATAAATTTATCTCATTTAATACTTACTACAACCCAATGATGTAGGAACCATGATCATTGTTTTATGAGAGGAGAACTCAGGCACCAAAAAGACTAAATAACTTTTCCAAGGTGACTCAACGAATCTTGCCAAAATTCTTGGTAACTTCAACATTCAGGTAGATGATCATTCTAGTGTCCTGCCTTTTCAGTCCTTTCACCAGTTTTTTAAAAAATATATTTTTATTGATTTCAGAGTGGAAAGGAGAGGGAGAGGGAGATAGAAACATCACTGATGAGAGAGAATCATTGATCAGCTGCCTCCTGCATGCCCCACACTGGGGATCGAGTCCACAACCCGGTTATGTGCCCTGACCTAGAATTGAGCCATGACCTCCTGATTTATAGATCAATGCTCAACCACTGAGTGACACAGGCCAGGCTCACCAGCTAACTTCTAAAGATCTAGAACTCTATCCTATCTCAGCTATCTACTCCATAGTAACTCCCTAGACCAGGGGTCCTCAAACTACGGCCCGGGGGCCACATGCAAATACAAATATTGTATTTGTTCCCGTTTTGTTTTTTACTTCAAAATAAGATATGTGCAGTGTGCATAGGAATTTGTTCATAGTTTTTTTTAAAACTATAGTCCAACCCTCCAAAGGTCTGAGGGACAGTGGACTGGCCCCCCGTTTAAAAAGTTTGAGGACCCCTGCAGACCTTGTGTTTAGCAATAACTATAGCCTCTCCCTACTCTTAAATGCAAGCATCCTATTCTCTAATTATTCCTTCTAGTAGCATGGTTTCAACAAGTTTTCAACCATACTGGGAACTATAATCCATCGACTTTAAATGCTTTTCAATGTTCCTTGCTCTGCTCCTGTTCTCATTCAATTTCTTCCCCAGCTCATTTTCTTATTATCCATCATTATAATCACCTCCTTGAAAACATTCACCACTCTCTTACCCCGTTTCCTTCCATTAGACTTGATTGGTAAAACTCCAATCTGTTTAAATACAACTTTCCACCTCTTTTGCACCTTCCTGCAGAAGCAGAATGTGGCTGGACAAAACTGTACAGCCAGTGCTCACTGATTTTACTTTGAATTCATATCTATTGACCTCGAGTGAGCTCATACTGCTGACTAGCAATCCTGCATTTCCCTAGTGTGTCTGTCTGTCTGTCTGTCTGTCTGTCTCTCTCTCATTCTCTAGAGACCTAGGCCATTATTTCATTCCTTTCTCTCCCCAAGTGTCCTTCCCCATCCCAAATACCCTGCCTCTTATTTCACTGAGAAAAGAGAGGCACTCCGAAGAAAACATCCACAAGCCCCTCTTACCAAATCTGCCAACTCCCACACACCCTCCCGTCCTTGTGAGGTGGAATGGACCTATCCTGGCTCCTGAGGCCAGTCCTTTCCCTTGCACAGTGGATCCCATTCCCTCTTATCTCAAAAATACTAATCTTGTAATTGACTCATCAAACTTTCTTTCCATCTAAGCATTATAATAATCTCAGAGACACGCTATATCTCCCATTACAAACAACACTCAGTATAATTGGAAAGAAAAGCACCTTTCTTCAATCTCATGGCCCCCTCCGGCTTCTGTACTCTTTCTTCATCTTCCTTTACAGCACAACTTCAAGAAAAAAAATCAATCACACCCGTGTTCCCTCCTTCTCTCCTACCACTCCAATCAGGCTTTCATATCCACCACTCCACAGAAACAGCTCTCATCAAAGTCACTGATGACCTCTATGTGACCAACTCCAATGGTCCATTATGTGCCCTCATTCCACCTAGCCCTGTGGTCGGCAAACTGCAGCTCGCAAGCCACATGTGGCTCTTTGGCCCCTTGAGTGTGGCTCTTCCTAAGCCCTAGGAATATCCTAATTAAGTTAATAACAATGTACCTACCTAGATAGTTTAAGTTTAAAAAATTTGGATCTCAAAAGAAATTTCAATCATTGTACTGTTGATAATTGGCTCTGTTGACTAATGAGTTTGACGACCACTGGTATCAGTGGCATTTGACCCAGTTGTTCACATCCTTTTCTGTTATTTTTATTTTTAAAAAATCTTTATTGTTGAAAGTATTAGCTAGGTCTTCCTTTTCTTCCCCATTAACCTCTTTCAGCCCACCATCCCTCACCACCCCACTGTCTGTGCCCACGGGTTATGCATATATGCATACAAGTTCATTGGTTGATTCTTCCCACTCACCCTCCCCTGCCTTCCCTCTGAGGTTCAACCGTCTGTTCATCCTTCTATGTCTCTGGGTCTATTTTTGATCATCAGTTTACTTGGTTCATTAGATTCCACATAATAGATCATGTGATACTTATCTTTCTCTGACTGGCTTATTTCACTCAGCATAATACTCACCAGGTCCATTCACATTCTTTTCTTTAAAAAAAATTTTTTTTTTATTGGTTTTAGAGAGGAAGGGAGAGGGAGAAAGAGAGAGAATCATTATTTGGCTGCCTCCTACACGCCCTCTACTGGGGATTGAGCCCAAAACCTGGGCATGTGCCCTTGACCAGAATCGAACCTGGGACCCTTCAGTCCACAGGCCGACGCTCAATCCGCTGAGCCAAACCGGCTAGGGGACACATCCTTTTCTTAACACATGTTTGTCATTTCTCTTCTGAGATCCCACACTCTGCTGGTTTTCCTCCTTTGAGTGTCACTCTTTCTCAGACTCCTTTGCTGACTTCTCATCTTTCTAACCTCTAAACACTTGAATAAGCCAACCCTAAATTCTCTCTTCTTTTCTCTCACTAGGTCAAGCATGTCAAACTCACAGCCCACAATGAATATTTTTGCAGCCCAGCCAATATAATGGTATGTAAGAAACATTTTAATAAAAATTGTGACTTAATTTTTACAATATCCTGTTATATATAATCCTATATAATAAAAGCCCAGTGACCAAAAGGGCAGAACGACCAGAATTATCAGAACCACCATGGCCCCTGGCCTGGACTGGCCCCACCCCCAGCAAGCAGTTAAGGGCGATCAGGAGAGTGGTTAGGGGCAACCAGGCAGGTAGATGAGCAGTTAGGGGTGATCAGGCAGGCAGGCAGAGTGCTTAGGGGTGATGACGCAGGCAGGCAGAGAGGTTAGGGGCAATGAGGCAGGCAGGCAAAGCCTCTGGATCAATCACTTCATAAAGGTAGACCCAGGCTGCTGCCATAGCCTGCAGGAGGGACACTTGGCAGTTGTGACGGGAGGCACTGGGCGGTGGATGCTGCAGGGCAGGGCTGGAGCCAATGTGGCTCCTGAGAGAGCACTGCGCCTGCAGCCTGGCCCAGGCAACGGGGTCACTGCCTCCACCAGCGGCTTCTGCAGGGCTGGACTGCCACTCCTCCTGCTATGATGCCTGGGCAGATCTGGGACCCTTCCATGACTGTGGGCTCTCTGCTTGGGCTCAGACCCCTGACCGGTCTCCTCAGCTTGGCCCTGACTGCAGAGGAGCTGAAATACGCTGACATCCACAACATTGGGGCCATGATTGCTCCTTTGCATTTCCTGGAGGTGAAACTGGGCAAGAGGCCTTAACCTGCGAAAAGTGAGCTAGACAGGAAGAGGAGTGGGGGATGGAAAAAGAACAAAGTGGCGGCAGCCTGATGCTGGAATAAGAAGAAGGAGCGGACGGAGTGTCTGCAGCGGGAATCTGAGTGGCTGGAGCTCATGAATGCGGAGTTGAAATCCCAGATGGAGGAGCTGAAGCAGGAGCGGCAGCAGCTCATCCTAATGCTCAGCTGGCATCGCCCCCCCTGCATTGTCAGGACCGACCGTGTTAAAACTCCCGATTCAGAAAGCAGCCCACTGCTAGATCAGCTGGAGAGGAAGTGACCATGGGCTGGGAGGAGGAGGAGTACGTGAGGAGAGGGAGGAGGAGGGTCCCAGAGGGCTCTTCCTTGCTACATGAAAAACTCTTCAATGAGGCTCAGAGCAGCCAGTATCAGCCGGGCTTTTTTGTGAAACTCAGATCAGCAACTCAGATTCCCGCTGCAGAAAGTAACTACAAATGTTGGAAGAGGAGAAGTAGATTTGAAAGTTTAAACTCCCACTTCTCCATTTCCTGGCCACTAAATAAAGCCTGTGCTGTAAACAGTCAAAATAATGATGATGATGATGATGATGATGATGATGATGATGATGATGATGACAATGATGTTGGAAGAAATTAAAGAAAACTCTTAAAATGCAACCACTATATGAACAAATAGAATGCAGACTTTTAAACTAGCAGGAGAAAACTCAATGCATCCAATCCATAACAAGAAAGGAAAAACAAACAAACAAAACAAGAGTGTGGAAATATGTCCTATGATTAACTCAACCTTCCCTGCACTTGAGCTCCACATAAAGAAAAAACTTGTCCATCAACTTCATAAAAGGAAATTCTAAAGAGGAAAAAAGGAAAATGATCCCAAATGGAATATCTGAGATGCAAGGAAAAATGCTAAACAAAAAAAATAAGAAATGTGTGGTAAATATAATCATCGACCACATACAATGGTATTAATTTGTGGAGCTAAACAAAGTAGAATAATAATATACATGGTTCTATCTGTATTTTCCCTTATAGCTTTAAAGAACTTATAATAAGTATTTTCCGAGTCCTTACTATGCTAGCTACTTTATAAGGCAGGTACTGTGGGGAACACGGAAACCACTAAGACTAGGACATAATCTCTGCCCCAGAGGAGCTGACACAGGTAATTATCACACAGTGTGGTAAGTACCATAATAGATGTTGAAGCAAATAACCATTCTGCACTCTCTCACAGACATTTTAGAATATTTCAGAATATATACTTTAACCCCTTCCCCGGCAGAAACGTGTATACACGTTTTCACAAAATGTTCTTTTTCAGTCGTCGACGAGTATACTAAGAAAATATGGTAAAAAAATATGGTTTATAGGAAGACGAGTTACCAACTGTTTTCATAACCAGCATCAAAAATACTATATAGAACCAAAATAAAAAAATTAGTCTGAAAAAGAAACGTTTTTAACAAAAAAAATTGTTGGGGAAGGGGTTAAGAAGTCAGGCAGAAAATACATCTAAAACATTACAAGTACTTTTGGAATGTGGACAACATACAGTATTTCCCCCCTTCCGTCTACTTTTATACATTTCCCAAATTTTCTAATGTTACATTAATTTTTAAAATTAAAAAATTAAAATGACATTTTTACAAAAAGAGAAATTACCTTGTTTGAATTGGAGCTCTTTAAACTCATGTATAAGATGTTTGTTTTCCTTTTCATAATCATGAGAAAATGCTTCTCTTTCCTCTGGTAAGTTACAGACATAGCTTGCATCATTTCCCACCTAAAAAGAAAATAATACACTTTCTTACTCTTAGTCCATGGTTCATATTTTAACTCATATTAAAAGTCTATTAAGCCAAAGATCCATTAAGAGATCACCATACTATTGTGTCTACAATCTGAGAAATATATTTTTTTTGTTAATTTTTCCCTGAGGATATTTTTTCCATTGATTTTTAGAGAGAGTGGAAGGGAGGGGGAGAAAGAGAAAGACACACATTGATTGGTTGCCTCCTGCACATGCCCCAACTGGGGATGGGTATAGAACCTGCAACCCAGGTACCTGCCTTTGACCAGGAATCGAACTTGTGACCCTTCTGTGCACAGGGTGATAATCTAACCACTGAGCAACACTGGCCAGGCTACCATCTGAGAAATAAACAGAAAACTCAGCTCACCTTAAATGTGGGTTATCAGACACCATTTCCCATAGGTATGATGACACATAATCACAAATTTTATGACAGTCATTGTCTCTAATATCTTTCCCATTAATATATAAGGTTTCAAATCAAATCTTCTTATCTATGGTTTAGGAAACATGGTCATGATACCATGCAGTGAAAATCTACATAAATATGTATATACTCCTATACTAAAATTAAGATGCCTGAAATGTTAATAGGAGATTCTATTAAAATAAATTGTTGGGTATTATTTAAAAATAGTTTCTGGTTAATATGGCAGCTTCACAAAAGGTACTTTATATGGCTAATAATAACAGATTGAGAGCTAACTATGTGCTCCAGGCACAAAGGTGTTAAGGACGTCAAATACAGGGCAAAAGGAGGTTTACAGTTGTGAGTATGGGAAACACAGAGCTTATTCTTGTATTATTATTGATTATATTATTTTTCATATGAACTATAAACCTACTTTTACCCCACCATGTACTTAATTTTTACCACAATCCTATGGAACTATACAGCAGGCTGAGAGAGGCTAAGGAACAAGGGGAAGAGCTAGGCTGCACACTCAGGTGGGCCAGAACCAGAGACGGGGCCCTTCCCTGGTGCCAAAATGCTTAGAAGTAGACTACCAAAATAACGGAATTGCATTTTGCTCAATTGTTTTGAAGCCTATTGAACAACTCTTCAGAATATGAATAAAAAGCTGAATAATATAGAAGGAAAACAGGATTGCAGTCTAGCTTTACAACTTCCTGGTAAGTTTCTTCCTCTTTAAAATGGCAATAAGAGCAATAACCTATTTCCTAATAATAGCTACAATTTATGAAATACTTGTTAGGTGACAAGTCGGTGTGTGAAAGGTTTATTCACATTCCCTTGGGTAAACTTCACAAATCCCTTTGAACAAACTATTATCATTTTCCAGGCTCAAAGATGTCAGTTACTTGCCCAGGGTTACACAGCGAGACAGTGGTAAGGGCAATTTTTCACCCCTGTCTGCCTCATGTTAAAGTTCCTGGTCTAATAAGTTCTACTGCTTTTGTTCTAAAGGAGCTGCATTCCTCTTTAAGAGTTTGGAAATCACATTGCCCTCTAAGAGTTAAATTTAAAAATCAACAAGTTTCCTATCAGAACTGAGATGTGGAGACACTGCAGAGTGATGATTCCCGAGCAACCTGAGAGAATTAACTCGTTTAAAGAAAGAATATGTCAGAAAGTACGTTGATCAGCCTTAGCTGGTTTGGCTCAGTGGATAGAGCCTGCAGACTGAAGGGTCCTGGTTTCGAATCCGGTCAATGGCATATACCCAGAAGTGGGTGTGCAGGAGGCAGCTGATTCTCTCTCATCATTGATGTTTCTATTTCTCATCCCTCTCCCTTCCTCGCTGAAACCAATAAAAATATATTAAAAAAAAAGATTGATCAGGAAACATCAAATAGTGATGAGAGTCAAAATATATTATTATTGACTCATCTAAGGGCTAGGTAACCTGGTCCTAGGATATAACAGGTCTAGAAATAAGGGCAGGTATATAGCCCTGTTGTGTAAATATGACTATCTTAGCTGGTACTATAAAATTTTAGAACCATTTGTTCATCAAGTAAACATATGATTAAAATTTGCCTCCCTGTCCTATGTAGTGTGCTTGTAGGGAGTGAATCCATCAAGCCATAGGACATATGTGACTGGTTCCTCTGGCAATTATACTTTTTATTGTAAAAAGCTGGTTTCCATTTTTCTGAACACTTCTCTGTGAGTTTAGTTAATATAAGAGTACCTTTGAGAAGCAGATCCACTTAGGTTTCTAAGCCAACAAGCAAGAGAGTCAGCTAGAGGGTCAGTTATTGAGATAAGAGCAGGCCTATTTGGATAGTCAACCAGTCATCCTGTACATGTCCTCTACTGGAAATCAATACAGATTGTAGAGACATTTCATTAAAAAATGTATAGGTGAGTGCTTTGCAAACTATACAGTGATATTCAGTTGTTGGTTTTTAATGTGTTAATTTAATGGACAAAGAAAAAAAACATAGGTATTTAAAATTTTTTATGTTATTAGCTCTTACTTGTTTCAATTTTTCCATGTTTCTCACTGAAAGTTCTTCTAGATTTCTGGAAGTAGTCCTCAGCATGTCTTCACTGTGCTGGAATAGGTACTAGATAAAATAGAGTAGTTCTCCTGTAGTAGCATGAGGTTCAATTCTTTCTTTCTCAAGATGATGAAGTATGCCTAATTGAACTTTTCCCCTGATAGATGAGAGAGGCATATGTGTATGCACACACACACATACACATACACATGCTACATGGAACTGAGCATGCAAGAAATCGGATATGTATATACTGGGGTAGGCAAAGTAGGTTAATAATAATAAATAATACAATAACTAATAAATAACACAAGAATAAACTGTTTCACATACTCACAACTGTAAACCTACTTTTGCCCTACCAAAATAACTGAATTGTATTTTGCTGAATTGTTTAGATTCTCCACAAAGATGTTTTCCTATTAATTGTTATGTTACCCAGTTATGTGCACTTACATGAAATAGCTAACACACAAAATATCAAAGCTTTCAACAGCTGCATATCTTTTAAATAATAAATGACATGACATAAAATGCAAATGTATGATACTATCTTTAAAAATACAAGCTTTTCTGTCTGCTCAGTTCTGAAGTTTGCAATTTAATAATCTGAAAATCTCCCAAAGATCCTTTGCAATGTTATAAATACCAAAGAAACCTTTGTTCCTTGTAATGAATTTTTTTAAAAAACATCTTCACCTGAAGGTATGTTTTTTACTAATTCTAGAGAGAGAAGAAGAGAGAGGGTGAGAGAGAGAAAACACTGATGAGAGAAACATCAATCCTGTCCCGGGATCAAACCCGCAACCTGGGTATGTGCCCTGAGTGGGAATCAAACCAGTGACCCTATGGTGCATGGGATGACGCTTTAACTAACTGACCCACACCAGTCAGGGCTCCTCTAGTGAATAGCTATACTAATAAAAGGGTAATATGCTAATTAGACCAGGAGACCTACCGGGAGACCTTTCTGGACAAAGCCATGGTGGCGGGGCCACGGCAGAGGCAGTTAGGGATGATCAGGCCAGGAGGGGAGGGCAGTTGGGGGTGATCAGGCCAGCATGCAGAGTGGTTAGGGGCGATCAGGCAGGTAGGCAGGTGAGCAGTTAGGAGCCAGAGTCCCTGATTGTGAGAGGGATGTCCAACTACCGGTTTAGGCCTGTTCCCTGTGGGGTCCCAGGTTAGAGAGGGTGCAGGAGGGGCTGAGGGACACACTCCTCTCCCCCTGCCCCCCTGCCGTGCACAAATTTCATGCACCAGGCCGCTAGTTTAGAAATAAAAGGACTCCTCTGGAAGCCACAGAGCCCATTAATTCTATACTATCAATGAATCATTTTGCTCACATATGTCTTACCATTTTTGTTGACTTCTAAGTCATTCTGCGCTCTTCTAAAACTTCTTACTCTAAGCCTGCCATCAATATCGTCTTTAATTTTTTTTTAAGTTGAAAGTGGTCATGCTACATGACAGCTTGCACTACATGGTGGTGTAAACGTTGAATATCTGCTGATTGATGAAGTGGTATTTGTGTTACTAGGACCACATAAATTAACCATTCTTAAGTGTACAATTCAATGGCATTATTGATAAGTACATTCACAATGTTGTAAAACCATTGCCACTATCCATTTCCCAAACTTTTTTTTATTACCCCAAACATTTATTCTGTACCCATTAAACAATAGGTCCCCATTTCTCTCTTCCCAGAGCCCCTGGTAACCTCTAACCTACGGTCTGTCTCTACAAATATACCTAATCTAGGTACCCCATGTAGGTGGAGTCATACATTTTGTCCTTTTGTTTCTGGCTTATTTCACTTAGCAAAATGTCTTCAAGATTTATCCATTTTATAGCATCTATCAGAATTCCCTTCCGTTCGAAGGCTGATTAATATTTCATCATATATATTTTGTTTATCCATTCATCTGTTGATAGATATTTGGGTTATTGCTACCTTTTGACTATTGTGCATAATACTACTATGAACACTGGTATACAAGTACCTGTTCAAGTCCCTGCTTTCAATTGTTTTGGATAGATACCTAAGAATAGATATGCAGAACTGCTGGACATATAACTCTATGTTTAACCTTTTGAGGAACTGCCATAAAAATATACATAATAGCCACATTAATAGATGTGAAGTGGCCACTCTATGGAACTATAATTAATACAATTCCTGGGAGGCCTCTAGTTCCTGGACCATGACATTCTCTCTCAAACTACCAGATACTCTCTGGTTTCCCCCCTCAAACTATTGTTCATTTCAATCAATCTCTCACCAATGACTCCAATTATCTTATTCCTTATCCCATCTTCCTTGAAAACCTCAACCCTGGAAAAATGCAACCATTTGACTATTCTTTACCTATTTTAGTTTGCTGAGTGCTAACAGGACAACAAACAAACAAACAAACATGCAGACTAGAGCCACTCCAAATTCATGGTCTGCAGCCTGAGTCAAGCTTCTCTACGTGCATCTATGTATTTTTTTTTACCAGCTTCTGCAACCATTTTACGTCGCAACTATTCAGAACTTTCACCTCTCCACTCTTTCAAAAGATGACCTCATCTCCCACAGCACTAGTAAAACTCAGGTCACCATCAACTCTGTCAGCTTCTTACACTATCACCAACATAACCTTCATCTTCAGACACTAACTACCCTCTCTCCCTTTTCCAGCGGAAGAGTTTTCCATCCTCCTGACCTAAGCTAATCACTTTACCTGTGTTCGAGAGCCCACCCCATGTTGCTTCAAGGGAGTCTTTTCTGGTCTGTATGCTCATTATCTCCCTTTCTACTGTCTTGCCATTAGCTCAAGATGTCTCTGATCTCAAAAATGGAGATGCAAAAATAACCCTCCTTTGATCCCAACACATTCCCCTCAAGCTATTGTCCTTTCTAATTTCCTCCACTCCTCAAATCACTGCATTTTTGGCTTCTGCTCTTACTACTGTGCTCAAAATCGGTCAACAATGATTCAAAATGCCAGATCCAACTGAACATATTTCTGTTCTTTTTATATTTGATCTCTCTATATCTGCTCACTCCTGTCTTGAAAGTAATTCCTTTCCCTGTTCTGTGATGTCACTTCCTCTTGTTTTTATTCTTATCTCTCCAGGCTTTCTTTGTCTGAGTTCTTCCTGGGCCCCTTTTCTCCCATAGACTCCTTAAATGCAGCCATTTCTGAAAACCCTGCCTATGGCTCTCTGATCTTCTCGCTATCATGATTAATCGCTTGGGCATGGAAATCTGACATACCTTGGTTCAAACCCTAGCTCTACCACTTTCTAGCTGTGTGACTTATGCAAGTAATCTAATTTCTTTACATTTTGATTTCCCTTAAAAATGGATATAATAGTAATAATTAAGTCATTGGCCTGTTAGGAGGATTACATAATTCATCTCTGCTGAGCTCCAGATCTATCTAGAAAAAGTGGCAAGAAACAGAAACACATTTAAGTTAGAATAAATACAAGCACATGTGGCAGAGACTGCAAAATGTCCTTCAATATTTATTCATCCCCTTTTCCACAAAGACATATAATTTTCTGTCCAATCACACAGCTGCCTGCCTTCCTGTTAGATACAGCCTTATAACTAAGTTCTGACCAATGAGATGTACATACAGTTGTGTGACACCTCTAGGAAGTGTCTTTAAAGGAACAGGATACCCTCTTTCTCACTTCTTCCTCCTTTCTACTGTCTGGAATGCAGACAAGATAACTGAAGCTTGAGCAGCAATCCTGGACACCATGAGGGGAAGCCACATGCCCTGGATGAAACACTATCATGAGAGAAGAAATCTGAATCTTTTACTATTCCAAGATGCTGTCCTACCAGTTCTGGACTGCTCTCTACTTGACTTTTATGTGAGAGAAATAAATTTCTACCTTTTAAAAGTCATCATTATTGTTTATCTTTCTGTCCTTTACAGCCAACCAATCTCAACTACCAAAAGAATAAGATACCAGGGCACATGCTGCAAACTAAACATGGCTACATTGGAAGTGGATATGGAACTGGACAGGCATTACTAGTCTATCTTGATCTATGAGGTCCTTCATCTCTGGGTCTTTCTGTGAATCAGCCTTATTAAATTGCTTCTCTATAAGGCTTCTCTATAAATTGCTTCTCGATAAGGCTGGGTTTTCTCTGCTTGCTCTTCTGCAACAATGAAAACAGCCATTCAGATCCTAAATCTATGTGACTTTTCAGATTGTCATTTCCATTCTTTTTTTTCTTAGTTCAACTTTATGAAAAAGAGAAAATTATTAGTTGCTCACCCAATGAATTTGTGACCCCCCTCTCTGAAGTTTAGCTGCATAATCCTCAGTCAGTTGTGGCTGGAATGGGCTGGAAGCAGTAGTACAAATCCTTGCCATAAAGCAAGGATTCGTGGAGAGGTACAAGTTTCAGAAGGAGAATGCAGGCTAGGAAAGCAATATAAAATCAGTCAACTATTTAAGACCAATGCAGGTCCATTGTCTAGAGAACAACTCAGTTTGAACAATCCATTCTTTCTCTTAACACCTGTTCCTCCTTCTGTTTTCCATAGTTAATAAAACCACCATCAGCATGGTTTCCAAAGCCAGAAATTCTTGGTCCCTCCTGCTTATTTATTTATATCACTTTCATGTACAACCAGTCCCTGAATTTGTAGATGTTATCTCTTTTTATCATCTTCTAATTCATCCTGTCCATGTCTACAATTGCTGTCTTCATTTAGGCTCTCCGCACTATTTGCCCAGTTTAGTGTAATAGCATCCTTAACTGATTTCCCTGTTGCCAGGCTGGCTCCCATTCAATCTGTACTCCACGGAGCTCTCAGACTGATCTTTCTGAATGCAAGTCACTTGCTGCTTAAATTTCCCTTTCAATCCCCTTAACTTGGCACCAGAGATTCTTCACAATCTGACTCCTGCCTGTCTCTCCAGTCTTATCTTCTGCCGCAGCTGACATTAGCTCCTCATGCAGTATACTTATGGGTCCCCACCATGCTGCTTATATTCCCATGACTCTGAATATTTGCATACCTTTGACTGTTCTGCTATGACATCTCAGAACTAATATTTTTTCCAGTGGACTTATTGAAGCCCAATGGTTGAGTAAATGGAAAATCCTAAAAAATCAGATCTTGAGGTAATACAAATCCAGTCTTTGAATTATAAGTGCTCTGACATTTAAACTGTGTCTAAAATTGCCCACGTAACAAAGTATGCAAATATACTATTCTCTACAAAGTAGATACTGAATAAGTGCTCATTAAGTATCTTAAAAGTCCACTCTTCGAAAAGAAGCACATCCTACAGTGTTTGGGGGCATTCAGAAACTTCTAGATGTAAAGAATGAGATGCTAAAGCTGTCAAAGAAAACCGAGACAGAATTTTAAGTGAGAAGAGAGAAAGGAGAGTGGGTGAAGAGTCGTTCCTACTTGTTCTTAATTCTCCTATGGCAGGTGCCCTCCAGAAGCCAGGACCATACTTCATTCTACAACGCATCTCTTGGCTTTGAGCAAAGGATGAGCTTTGGTCTTTTGAGTGACACAGAGAACAAAGTAAATAGCATGGCCACAAAAAAGGGAAATATCTAGTGAGGTTATTCACCCTAATCCTTCTTTCTTCCTTCAACACAAATACATTTTAAAAATGTATAGACATCTTACAGACTATATATCATACACAGTTTCTTCCTTTTCAATTCTCAAAGGAGAAAAAATAATTTTAAAGTAAAAATACAATGTATCAATGCTTAAAATATAAAATTAAGCAAAAGATTAAGGCATAATGCACACTATACTAATAACTATGTAAAAATGTACTTGCATGAGCAAGGACTGACATAACAAAAGATGAACTGCTGACATGTTAGGACAGGTTTCTCAGCCTTGGCACTACTCACATCTTGGGCTGGCTAATTCCTTATTGTGCGGGATGTGTCGCAGCATCCTTGTCCTCTACCAACTAGGTCCCAGTAGCATATCTCCAGTTGTGACAACTACAAATGTCTCTTTATGTTACCAAATGTCTCCTGGGAGGCAAAACTGCCCTACAAGTTTGGAACTACTGTCCTAGGGTGAGAGAAAAATTTTTTAATTATGTTTACATGGCCATAATGATATTTGTTCAGTATATACATATTGGATGGGGAAAGGAAAGCTCCTTATAATACATTATCTAACAGCCCTTTTTTTTCAAGAGTTAGAATTTATTCAGTTCTCATTTAATGCAAAAAAATGAAGAGGCTACAGAACTTGTTTTTCTTTTCCAATCTATTATCGAAGAGAAAGCTGAATTTCTCAGTCAGTATTTGGAAATCTGACCTGGCATCAAGCATGAGATATCACAAATAACTGCTGTAATCAGCCTGAGAAATAAAAATATCCAGACCATTCTAGCCCCCAAATACCTGTTAAAAATGTACACTATACAAATCTTCAAAATAGGTTTACATTTTAATCTGAATGCCAAAGAAATGGTAAGACTTGATAAGGAACACATACTTTAAGACAAAGTTTTCCAAGGTAAAACACAAATGCATTGGATATAAATGAATCTTATTCTATTTGTAAGGCCTTCTGTTCCAGTCTTTTTAGAATTATTAAGTCTGCCTCTTGCCAAAAATATTTATTTTCAATCATTCCTCTTCATTTTTTTTGTTTCTTGGCTCACATCACAAAGAATGTTTTCTGATCAAGAAACTGACATGAAGCCGAAACCGGTTTGGCTCAGTGGATAGAGCGTCGGCCTGCGGACTGAAAGGTCCCAGGTTCGATTCCGGTCAAGGGCATGTACCTGGGTTGCGGGCACATTCCCAGTAGGAGATGTGCAAGAGGCAGCTGATCGATGTTTCTCTCTCATCGATGTTTCTAACTCTCTCTCTCTCTCTCCCTTCCTCTCTGTAAAAAATCAAAAAAATATATTAAAAAAAAAAAAGAAAGAAACTGACATGAAGAGGAGCCATAAGAACTGTTTCAAGCATCTGCTTTCCAAAAATTCTATCATATCAAGGTAGGGTTCCTATGGCTTAAAGTTGGAATCCTGTTACATGATCATTCTGAATGATCTTATCACATGCATGAATACATCACTAAAATATATGCCCAATGAAGCATTCACTTAAACAAGGAACAATCTTTCTTTATATAAGTCTGAGATGGACCCCAAACTGCATTTTGATTTTCCCCTCTCCATTTTCAAAACACACTAGGCTTGTAGTAATTACTATTTGTATTGGCCAATGTGCGCTTCTAGTCTCTAGTTTACCCAAGACAAAAAGCTTTCCATAGTGAAACAGAGAAAATCTTCCAAATGATTCCTGGGCTGGAGAATGTGACATATTTAGCTACCCAAAGTACTATGGCAGACAAACAGGAGAGGGTCTGTAGATGACAGAGGTGGTGGAGATGAACGGGCACTCAGTAAGATGCAGCGTGGACAAGAAAGGGTGAAAATGGCCATGGAAGGAGCAGGATGAGAAAACTGGCGCTCAGGGTGATGAGAGAAGTGGATGAGATTGTAGCTTGAAAGGCAGAAGGTTAACTGACTTGATGATGTCTGATGTTGAGGATACAAAAGGCCTCCAGAGCTCCAACGGGAATTAAGGTTCTGCGTGGCGAACACAGGGCAACAAAGTAGAAAACGGCAGTTCTTTGTTCACAACCCGGGAAAGCCGTGGCTCGGTGGACTTTGTTAAATAAATGGCCGCGAGCTTCAGAATCGTTGCCTGAAAAGTGAGAAATGGAACGCCTACCTAACTGGGGGTGTTCTGAGCCCTCTCTAAATAAGAGCGGCACCCTAATTCTAAGTGCCCGTGGCTTTCGGGTCCCAGAGACTTAAGAATCCTAAGACAGAATCACTCAAGCCCATGGCTAGAAAGGCCGAGCCAGGGAGAGGCTTTGCTCCTGTAGTTTCGAGCCATACAGGGGAGACAGGCGGGAAAGACCTGGCATGGTGGAAAAGGGCGGAGAACAGGTGCTTTCCTCCTCGGGGCTGCGGCGGGAACCTCAGAAAGCAGGCGGGAAATTGTCTTCTGACGGTGCGTTGAGGGTCCCGGGTCGCTTCGCTCCACAGACCCTCCGCAACGAGAGGCAGGTGCCTTGAGTCCCGGGCGTCATAGCAACCGCGCCAGCCGCAGAGACGCCAAGGCGTTCTTCCGGCGGGAACTATAGAGACGACGCGCTCCATTGGCTCAGGGGCTGTTCTTCCTGTGGAGACCAGCGTTACGGTGCACACCATTGGCCTTTAGGTCGTGGGGCGGGACTTTTCTGGCAGGAACTGTGGTACGGCTCTTTGCTTAGGCTTCGTAGTAACCATGGTAACGTCACGGTGCCTGTTTGCAACTTAAAGGATACTTCTTGTCACCAGGCATTTATAGTTCTCAGACAGCTTCTCACCAGGCCTTATCTAGAGCCCCGGCATAATTACCTTGGATTTATTTTTCTAAAAGTAACTTCATTCTTAAAAGGGAGAGGGTGCTACGCCAGGAGTCATGAATTTTAGGCCTAGATCTGTAACTAACTACCTGGGGTACCTAAAACAAATCACATTTTGGAGCCGACTTATTGTCAAAATGAAGACACCGAAAAAAAAAAAAACCCAAAGCACTGAAACTCGGTTTAGGTAAACCATTCCTGTAATGCAAAATAAAAATTTCTAAATGACATAAAACTTAACACAAGCTCAATTTATATCATCTTTATTTAAATGCTTTTATTGTAAGGCTCCAGTTAGTTAAAGCTCGATTTTATTCATGTTTACAGGGGTTTTCTGGTATCCCAAACACGTGCTTACATTTTTAAATCTTATTCTAGTTTTCCATAGGATCCTTTCCAAAGCTCTGTCGGTTCTACATGCAGTATCAGGACGGATTTTATCCCTTACTTTCTAGAACTGCTTCAACCTCTATTTTGGCACCAGAGCCCTTAGATTCTAAGGCTTAGAAGTTCTTTTCTTTCACCTAAAATGCTCACCACCATCATCTCAAGCCCACTTAGATTCTGTATCAGTTCAAGCGTCACTTCCTCAAGGAAGCATTCCTTGGTTCTCATCTAGATCACATTCTTTCTCATTTGCTCACTGAGAAATCATGTTCCTTTTCACTATTTCTTTCTTTGCTCACTTCCATTTGCTATTGGTATTTTTCCCCCAAAACTCTTAGAATTTTAACATGTGTAAATACTGTTTAAGTGTTTGGAATGGAGACTAAACAGAATTACAAAACACTTTAAATAACTCCATGGAGAGAAGTGGTGGCTGTTTCAAGCATAAACAAGATAGGAAATGGTTTCCAAGTGAAGTAATCATTAAGATAAAAACATTAAGATTACTTCTAGTTTTAATTCCATTTATCCTCATTGTATATACAAAGATGATGACAGCCATCAACCGCATAAAGCTATAGATGTAGGGGAGAAAATCAATCTTTTACTTCCTATCACTTCAGTATTGCAGCCATTGCTGACAGAACTATTGCTTTTAAGGTTTTGCCCGTTGGACCTAAAGTTAATGAAAAAATTTTGTTCAATGGGACTGCTGCTGATTACTGGTTATTTTTCCTCTGCTCAAGGTCACACTTCCTAATTAATAACTATTTCAGTGCATCTTGGCACTTCTGTTCAAATCTTTTCAACTAAAGTTTATTGTACCTCTATTATCAGTCACATTGGGCTATGTTCCAGGCATGAGGCAAATGCTTTATCTTGTCTTACTTAATCCTCACAACAAAAGGCATTGTTTTCCAGAGATTATCTCCATTTTATAGATGAGAAAATGGAAATTAAGTCAGGTGTCTGAATTTATTGAGCTAACAGGTAGTATAGCTTGGAGAGGTCAAATCTGGCTAAGATGACTCCAAAGCCCATACACTTTACCACACTGTAATGCTTCCCCAAGGGTAGAGATGATCAATTGGCCCCTGCCCGGTTCCAGGCGGAAGCCCAGGTTCTCTCCCTGAAGAGCAGTCCTAAAATACTTGAAAGGCAAATTGTTAACTCAAAAAAGAAGTAGTTATAGGACAAGAAAGCAAAAAGTAAAGCAGCAGGAAGCTCATTATTCCTCAGGCAACCTATCTTCAGGGAGGTGTCCTTCTCTCCTACTCCCATCTTTGATAAATCCCCAAAGAACAACATCCTTTCCACAATGTCAACTTTTGGGCACACACTTTATTGCACTTAATTTTTTATATATCCATTTCCCAAACTAGACATGTTTATTCATCTTTTTAATCTTCATAATCAATAAGGCCTACCACATAGTAGGCATCAACAACTGATCTTCAAAGCATGGCCATTCATGAAACCATAATCCACTTTATAGTGAAGATGGTTGATATTCAGGCCCCACATGTATATTTTAAGGAATATAATTCCCAATAAGCTCTTTTTTTTTAAGGGTGAGAAACAGCTCATGCTCATTTTAAAATCAAGATGACATCCAGGTGAATGTGTCAGGTGGGTAAGTCATAATTGTTTGCTTTTGTTTTCATTTTTAATGGGTATTAAATGACCTTTAAAAGACAAATAGCAAACCATATTTGCCTGCACACCACTCACTGCTTTTTCCCTTCATTTTCTCTGTCTTTATGAAAGCAAAGGACTTATTCTAGTTCTCACCATCTGTAAGAGCCCTGGTCCACTGAACAATTTTTGACCCTATAGTTTTTGATCCTTCAATTTTTGTCTTGTATAAAAGCTGTGTGTCGGGACTGAAGATCATCCACTATCTTCTCTTCTATTTCCATGCCTTTTTCTATTTCTTCCTCTGATAGCAATAACTTAGTTTCTGAGTCTTTGGTTATAATAATGACAAAGGACCGTTGTGACTCAAGGATATTAGCCACCACCACTTGATGTCGATACATTTCCAAAGCATTTCGTGCACGGTCAATTATGATAGAGGGATTAGTCTCCAACTTAAAGGAAATTATAAATGCTTTGGGAGCCCAGTCTTTAACCAAAGGAGAAAGCATTTTTGGCACCATCTTCATTGTTATCTGTGTTGGAAAAAGAAAAGCTTAGTAAGCAAACAAAGGTCACCACCGACCAGGTCAATCTCATGGGAAACTAAGGAAGTAGGGACTCAGATTTTTGACTATGTCAATTTAAGTGGGACTTCTCATTGTCAAACTTTTCAAAGCATATGAAATGCTTAGCTTAAAATCCTTGGCTCTGTAGGGTTCACAAGGATACCTAACTTCAAAGTTTTACACATATTCCATGGGCAAATCATATATAATGAATCAGTCCTACTCTGCCATACTCTTCGCCATTAATAGAACCCCATAGACCAGCATTACACTTTCTCAAACATCTCCCTTCATTGTTTACGCCAAACTCCCATGGACACAAGTAATCTACTCACGTAAAAGTTACTTTGGCAGAAGCTCAAATAAGGTCAGGTTTTTAAGCCTCAGCCTAAAATATTTCTTGCACTGACAGAATGGCTATTCCATTTCAAAACTGTCACTTGTAACACATCTTAGCACTTATAACTGATTTTCTTTATTTTCATTTGGTCACAATGTCTACTATATCATTCTCAATCCCTTCTAAAAAGAATGTTTGAGTTGTTTTGTGCACTTCCAAGATAGAACTAAAAAATAAAAGATAAACTAAAGCTCCCATAATTTAAATAGCATGACATCACAAATCATCAGGTTTTCCCCTCAAAAAATTATAAAGTGTGACAGGGATCATACGTCCCGTTCTCCACTTTTTCTCCTTAGCATTTATCACTACCTAACATAGTACTGTCTCCTCTACAGAGTATAAGCAACACAAAGACATGGTATATTTCTTTCCCCTGTTTTACCTCCAGGTCCTACAACAGTGCCTGGCATATAGTTGGTGCTCAATAAAGAAACATTTGTTGAAGAAACAAATGAACTATCCTACAAAGTCAGTAAGTGCCCCACAGGTAGAGTTTCTCCTATTTAAATTCTATTTGTATCATCCAGTAAATGACTAAGAAGTCCCTCAGGTTACAAGCAGCCAGATTACCTCCTATCTCAATCACCCTACTACACCCACTATACTGCCTCCTTAAACTACAGCAATAGCCCCCATCTAATCAACCCTTGCTTCTCTCTCTAATTCACCTTTCCAACTCATGCCACAACATCTCAAACAAAAACACGCTCACTCTCCTACTTATGTTTCCCTTGGCTTCTTCACAGGATAAAAAGTCCTAGCTCCTTAAAAAGGAATAGAAAGTCTTCTATGAATTAAGCTGCTTCTTCTGTTCTCTCTCCATTCCCACCACTCTCCCTGCTCTCTGGCCTTATCGAACAACTTCAGTTCATAGTCACTGCCCATCCCCAAACTCCAGTTGTGTTCTCTATCTGGAATGACCTTCTCTACTTTGACTGGTATACCCTCTGCTCATCTTTTAAATCTCACTTCGTTATCTCCAGAAAGCCTTCCCGGACTTCCCAAGATTCAATCACCTCCTGCTTTGACTTCACTCTGTATGTTCCTCTCCTAGAACACTTATCCCTCTGTATTGTAATTATGTCTGTGTTCAGGTCCCTCACTACATTGTGAGGTCCTTGAGGGAGAACGGTGTCTTACTCATTTCCGTATCCCTAGTGCCTAGTTCGTATGAAATGCAGAAAGGCCGTCTCCAGATCAGGAGGTTAACCCAAGATTGATTACAGGGGATCAGATTTCTGGAAGAGCAGCGCCCATCACCTGCAGTGGGCCCCCAGATGACTGGATCTTGTGTTCAGGCATTTCAGAGACAGGAACATAGAAATCTGACACGGCCGCAGCCAGGTAAAACATCGCAGAGGGGCCTGCAAAGAGAAGCAGAGGGTGTAATACATCGGAAAGGTGTATAGGATCAGGTCCTTTTCACCTCGGGTTCCCCTGCTGTGAAACCTGTGGGTTCTGAGGAGGTAAGCAGTGGTTCTCAACCTTGTGGCCCTTTAAATACAATTCCTCATGTTGTGACCCAGCCATAAAATTATTTTCATTGCTATTTCACAACTGTAATGTTGCTACTGTTATGAATTGTAATGTAAATATCTGATATGCAGGATGGTCTTAGGCGACCCCTGTGAAAGGGTCGATCGACCTCCAAAGGGGTCGCGACCCACAGGTTGAGAACCGCTGGTAGGGGTGTCCGGGGAGAAAGGCACGCCTCCCAGGAACCGATGGATTCCTAAGGCACGCACCTAGCGGATTGAGCGCCTGGGCCGCAGCCTGCAGCAGATGCAAATAGTCCGCCAAAGTGGTGAACTCTATCGCCAGGAAGGTGCCGGCGGCCGCCGCTTCCTGGTAGCGCCTCAGAGCCGCCGCGAAGCCCGGGAGCGCCTTCTCCTCGACCTCCAGGCTCAGTAAGCCCGAAGTGGCTGGGCTGGTGGGCCGCAGCGCCGACAGCCAGGTCTGGGGAGGGAAGCGGTGGGCAAAGGGGAAGGCAGAGCGAGCGCGGTGGAGGAACAGGACCCCGTAGCCCGCCGCCAGAAAGATAAATGAGCAACTTTAGGTGAGTAAGGCTTTTGGTGTATTTGACTCTCAGAGTAAGGTTAATATAGTGGCTAAGAACAGAGGCCATAAGCCCCGCGCTCCCCCGCGCTCCCCCGCGCCTGCGCACGCTCCCGGCCGCCGGCGCCAGGCCCCCGGCCCGACCTGGCCTGCGCGCAACCGCAATCTGAGGGGCGGTGCCCGCCCTAGATTTCTCCACGTCGGGAAAGGCGTGCTGGTTCTGCCTCACAGCCCGGCGGAACTGGTACTGGGCAGACGCGCGTCTTTTTCCCCATTGCCTAGTCTGAGTAAAGAACTAGACATGTTTGCCCCTTACCGGCCACCGTATCTGCCTTTCTGCACTTGGACTCCACTGGAGTGAGACTGCGCGGCCATTTAACTGACGGGTTGGAATTTGTGTGTGGAAGTGATGGCTGTCTTTTGTTTTTTGGCTTTTTTAACCTCAAACACGCTCCAGGTGTTAGCCAAGCCACGCCCTCCCCTTGTCCTTGAAAGGCCGGGAACGAGGTGGCCCCGTGGTGGTCACGTGACACCGCGGTGGTCACGTGACATCGGCGTCCAGCGTCTTCTCGCTAGGCAACCGTCCTAGAGCCTGACCCCGCTGCTGCAACATGAACATGATCTACCAACTGGCGGTGCCCAAGGGGCGCCGGATCTGCTGTGAAGTGTGCGAAGCTCCAGCCGAGCGGGTGTGCCCGGCCTGCACAGTCACTTATTACTGGTAGGCCTGAAATGTGGCTCCTAGGCGCCCCGATGCCCTCTCCCCCAATAACCCCCCTGGGTCTGGGTGCTTCGAGGCGGTTCCAAGACAGGTCTCTAAGACTTCGGTGCCTCGTTTTCATCCTCTTCTATTCCAGCATTCACCAGCAGATGTTTTGTTGAGCGCCTCCTGTGTGCTATGCACTGTCCTGCGTGCTGAAGTCACTGAGGGAACTTGGCAGACCTTGTCCCTCAAAGGGCTAATGACATTTTCACTGCGACCTACCTATATGTAAACAAACAGAAAACAAGATGGTTTCCCAGAGTGATAAATGTCATAAAGTCAAAGGAAAGGCTATGGGAGGTTGGGCAGATTGCCTCTCTGAGGGCAGACCCTTGATCTGAAAGTAAAGCAGGAGCAGCCTGCCATGGAAATGACTGGGGAAGACTGGAACAGTAAGGCCCTGCGGGAGGGAAGAATTGGCCGTGTTTGAGGAATAGAAAGAAGGCTATTTGGCCCTGGCAGGTGTGGCTCTGTTGGTTAAGCGTCCTCCCATGCACCCAGAGGTCACCAATACGATTCCCTGGCAGAACACATGCCCAAGTTGCTGCCTCCATCCTGTCGGGGGCGTGCAGGAGGCAGCCCATGGATGTTTCTCTCGCACCCATGTTTCTCTCTCTCTCCCTCTCCCTTCCTCTCTAAAATCATTACAAACATATTTTTAAAAAGAAAAAGAAAGGCAGAAAGCAGGCTATTTGGTGCACAGCCAACATGGTAAGGGTATGGGGAGGGTGGTACTGGATGAGATCAGTTTTCAATTGTCCAGTATAATATCCTTTGACTTTTGCTTTAGAGAAGACCCTATTTTGAGCCTGAGATAAAACAACTAGGTTGCTGACTTCCAGAAACCTAGGTCAGAGCAGACGAACTTGTTTAAAAAAGAAAGTCATTCTGATACAAGTGTTGTCACTCAAGGTGTGCTCTTCCCTGGGACTTCTAAGGATGGAGGCAGTGATTGGGGTAGTATCTGGAAAGGTTCTCTGAAGAAGTAACATTTGAGCCGAGTCTTGAAATTTTAGTAGGAAATTGCTAGGTAAATGAACAGTGAAGAAGGAAGCGTAGGACACTGACATCCAGGACTGCCTTGGGCAAAGGGTGAAAAAACAGTTTATTGAGAGCTGAGTAAATAAGGTAGTAGTGGAGGGAGCAATCACTGATTTTTAAATTGCGGTCCATGACCCTTCAGCAGATTATGAGTAAGTCCTAACCAGCATTTTAAGAAAATAATAGAATAAAAATTATTAGAGTGATCCTATTTGAACTGTCCCTTGAAACTTTTAGTGTTCTTATGTGGATATGTGTGTTTGTACTGGAACAATATATTTCATGCTATGGGCTTAGTGAAAAAAAGCATTGGAAAATCATTGTGATAGGTACTAGTAGGAGTTTAAGCAGAGAAGATCAAGGTGAGGGTCAAACAGTGACATGGCCTCAAAGAGTTTGGAATTTACCCTCTGGAAGGTGATGGGTGATTTTGGCATGCTCTTCTCATTTGTGGTAAGATGACAGGTGGCAATGTGGAAGATAGCTTGGAAGGTAGACACTGGAGGCTGCATAACTGAGAAGTTGTTGCAGTGGTCCCAGTATGGAGTGAACATACATCTCTCAGTCTGAATTAGGGGTCCACCCTCCATGCTCTCACAGCATTCAGTATGTCCCATATCTTAACGTTTATGATACGATGTGAAATCAGTTGTTCACTGGTTTGTATTCCTCAAAAGGCTGTATGCCCCAGGAGGGCAAGGATGGCATCTGTTTTTTCATTGCTGTTCCTTTATTGCATTTAGAATACGATTCAGAATTCATGACAGAAACTGCAAAGTTCTGTTACCTCTCTCCCTTTATTTCCTACCACACTCACCTCCTCTTTTCCTTGATGCAGCTACAGAGACTTTCTTTCAGTTCAAATTTGACAAGTCCTTTCTTTTCTCAGTTTCTTTGCTCTCCACTGCGAACCTCCCCTTCATCCATGAACCTTTCTAGTTCCCTTTCCTCTTTCAGTTCTCAGAAATTTTATTTCTTTAAAGAGGTTTTCCAGAAAACCCAATCTAAATACTCTCTCACTTTTCTCCCTTTTTTTCACTTTACCTGTACTTTCCTATTTTTCTGTTTGCTTATTTAATATCTATGTCTCTTACTAGACCAGTGATGGCAAACCTATGACACGAGTGTCAGAGGTGACATGCGAACTCATTTTTTTGGTTGATTTTTCTTTGTTAAATGGCATTTAAATATATAAAATAAATATCAAAAATATAAGTCTTTGTTTTACTATGGTTGCAAATATCAAAAAATTTCTATATGTGACATGGCACCAGAGTTAAATTAGGGTTTTTCAAAATGCTGACATGCCGAGCTCAAAAGGTTCGCCATCACTGTACTAGACTTAGGGCCTGCATGTACCAGGCACTCAATGATCATTTGTTGAATAACTGAACTTCTGAATAGATAATAAACCTGTTAACTGGGTCAAAGAACACAGAGGAAGTGGTAGGTGGCAGATTGGATTGGGACACAGTTTGAGGGACCTTCAGGCCACTTGGAAGAGATGGCTAAGAAACAATTTTAAGTATAAGCCTGGCACCCCTTTGTCTAATATGAGTATCCACCTCTTCCCCATCCCCCTTTCATCCCTCTAGCCAGAAGCAATTAGTTCTTCTCAACTCATTTTGAACTTACTCTGTATGACATTTCACAGACAACTTTTATTTCCCTTCTTCATTTTATTTGTTGGCAAGCATATTATCTTAATTTTCTTATGCTCCATCAATACAGGATATTATGTAGAATGTATAGAAGGACTGTCATATGTATGCTACCTTTTGATCTGTTTCAGGCCCATCTTGTGTATGCCCCACAGTCTCCAGCAAAGTGCTTTGAAATACTTGAAACTAAATATTTGATGAATGCACGAATGACTAAATGATCATGTCCTAGGCCCTTATCCTCCATTATTTCCTTTCTCTTTTCACTGGTTAATATCTTTTCTCCCCCTCCCCCTTTTTTCTCCAGATTTCTCTATGATTGTGTCCTGGAGATTTTAAAGTTTTTCTGTAAGATAAAACTGAGGTGCCCTAGCTGGTATTGCTCAGTGGATAGAGCATTGACCTGCGGACTGAAGGGTATCAGAGTTCGATTCCAGTCAAGGGCACATGCCCAGGTTGCAGGCTGGATCTCTAGTAGGGGGCGTGTAGGAGGCAGCCAATCAGTGATTCTCTCTCATCATTGATGTTTCTATTTCTCTTTTCCTCTCTGAAATCAATAAAAATATATTTTTAAAAATAAAATAAAACTGAAGTAATTGTTCTATATCTCAAAAATGGGGGCTTTACTACCTCCTTCCTTTCAGAGTTTTCATGGTTGAATGTAAAGCATCTAGCACTGTGCCTG